TCTGTGCTGCACATTATCGCGCAAGCCACCACCCTGTCGTCTTGCTCGCTGCTGTGGGGTCGCTGGGTGTTGAGTGGTGCGGCACCTGCACCACACAGTCAAAGACACATGACAGCCTGCCAGCCGTACAATAAAACCGCTCGCTCCTGCGCTCATAGCTGGACCACCTCTCGTCCTACCACCGCTGCGATCGGCTAAGATCAACGGGTCCAGATCGTGGCCTGTCGCAGGGATGCAGAGAGTGCCACAGTGACGGATACTCACTGGCAATGGCAATGTTCGTTGTCGTCGGAGTCCGGGCAGCAGAATGCCATACACGCGTAGTATCCACTTGTCGGTGTAGCCTCTCACCACCAATAACCACCTACGGTAGAGCAGCCGTCTGGCATCAAACTGAGCGGTCCGCAGCTTTGGAATTGGGTACACTGGGCATGTGTAAGACGTTCCGGTGGTGTCTATGCCCATGCAGGTGCTAGAGGGGTGCAATTCGCGCCTGCCGATTCGGGAGTCCCACGGCCTTGGAATAGCTTCGTTGCGAGATTGCGCGCCTTAGCTGAGGGGTCGACGACGCCACAACCTGCATATCCTCACATCACTGTACTATGGTATAATAATTGCATGTTGCACATAACTGCGTCGAGTAACAGATTCCGGTGTCTTGACGGCCCAAGTGAGGAGTCAGGTCCACCGCGGACAAAACCTCCGCGTCAACCAGGATTGAGCTTGTTGGTTGCACGTGTCAAGATTTAGTCCAAAAGTTACTTGGTTTGGGACGGAACTCGCCCACGGTCACGGTGAGAGTGGGCTGTGCGGATCTGTGCCAGCTAAGTTTCACGTCAGCAATGTGACGTCAGTCATTACTTGATACAAAAAAAGTTGAGATCCTGCATCGGGGTGGCATATCCTCGGCATGCATCGTGGGCTGGCCAGATGCACACACAGTGACGTGTGTGCTTTCGTGATTCTATATACCGAGACATGTTTGATGCGGGCCTTGTCGGCTTTGCGGATGTCCGCGGAATGTATCTAGATACTTCTCCAGCGGTAAACGGTTGTGAAGACGGACATTACTGTATGATTTCATGTGGAGACGGTGTAACAGACCGCCATGTATGTATGCATCTAGTGTCTTCTTGCACGCAGTCGCCAACAGGAAGCAGAGGCCATCTCAACGATGCTTTGTAGGGGCTGGTAAAGCAGCTAAGAGCGACGTTCATTTCCACATCGCATAGTTTCTGGCTGTGCCTCAAATTGTAACTTCAACAAGCCTTATTGCACTCTTGCCAGGTCGACATGGCAAGAGCTTTGGAGGTAATGTATCCGCAGTCAAGATGGGTCTTATCGAGCAGTTGATGTGATGCAGTTGCTCCAGTCACCAGCGTAGAAGGCTTAGGAATCATGACTCTCATCATGAGCTCTGTCTACGGGTGCTGGATAGAAACAGTATCGATATGCCAAATTGAAGTAGTTGTGTTGGAATGCATTCGCACGCCAAGTGCTTTCCGATCTTAGTAAGTCAGTCACGTGCACGAATTCGTCACTGCTCTCGGCGATCTCCAAAGCATCTGCCTGCAGCATCGCAACCGCTATCGCCTCATCACGACGCAAACAACCGCTGTCCATCACTCTCCGGGTCTTTAGAACCTCAGTCGCCGCTTAACCCTCCGCAAAGACCGCATCACAGCCCTATCACGACTTCACGATGGCGGACGCTTCCGCGCAACCGAAGCCTAGCAGCAGCGTCAAGCTCGTGCTGCTAGGAGAAGCAGCCGTTGGAAAGGTACGGAGTAGGAAGGCTTCGTCGCGACTCTAAACTGACGTTTCTCAAGTCATCTCTCGTTATGCGCTTCGTCAACAACGACTTCCAAGAGAACAAAGAGCCTACTATCGGAGGTACGTACACAGCCACATGCGGAGATATTGCTCAACAACCACCCGCATCCCCATACTGCCAAACTATGACTAACGTACCATTTGACAGCTGCATTCTTGACGCAGAAATGCAACCTACCAACCCGAACCATCAAGTTTGAGATCTGGGATACCGCCGGCCAAGAACGCTTCGCCTCGCTCGCGCCCATGTACTACCGCAACGCCCAAGCCGCCCTCGTCGTCTACGACATCACAAAGCCCTCTTCCCTCACAAAAGCCCAGCACTGGGTCGCCGAACTGCACCGCCAAGCCTCCCCAGGCATCGTCATCGCGCTCGTAGGAAACAAATTCGATCTGGCGACCGCCGCCGATGAAGAGAACCCAGAAGATGCAGATGATGCCCCCGCAGCTGAGGGCGAGGACGAGCCAACCGAGGATGGAGCCGACTCGAGGAGAGTACCTAGCAAGACTGCAAAGGCATACGCAGACGAGGAGAGCTTGCTGTTCTTCGAGACGAGTGCAAAGACGGGGCACAACGTCGCCGAGGTCTTCACTGCCATCGCAAATGCTATCCCAGAGACGAGCTTGAAGGGGCCTCGTGGGGTGGGTGGACAGACAAACTTGAACAGGCAAGAGGATGCGCGGGTGAACCTGGGCAGCGCACGGACGGAGGGTCCTAAGGAGGGTTGCGCATGCTGAAGAGGTGCATGCGGAAGTGGTGTCGTGTGGATTTGCTAATGCTCACGGAGGAGCTCGATAGCTACGAAGACTTGCGGGCACAATTGATGTGTTCAACTCCGGATTATCAACATTAGGCGTTGGATGGAATGATATACTTTATATTGCCGTCAACATGATGGCGTATATACTGCGTGAGACGTGCGACTGGGTTTTCTGTCCCAGGCAGCTTGACTACACCTACAATGAGCTTCAAGTGCAGTGTTCCTGCTTGGAAGGCTCTATTGAAAGATGTTGTTCGAACACCGGAAGTAGTCCCACAAAGTCGTGTCTGTTGCCGCCATGTTCGTCGTTGCTTCCCTAAAAGACGCGCCAAGAGCTATCCCTTCACTCAGGTTGGCGCGCCAACAACCATCCTTGCTAGGGGCTCTAATATGCCCCACTTGCACACACGACGCGCTCATTTGCACTCAACCACAAATCTTACGATACCAGCCATGGCACCAGCTCATCATAAACGTCTCGTACTGCCAGAGGTACTAGAAAAGAAGGCCAAACCCGCGAAATGGGTTGAGAAACTCTTCTCGGGCATTCACGATGCAGATACCTCAACGCGCAGGAGCACGCGCAGCGGTACGCGTAAGAGCGCGCGAACTCCTCAAAGCCAAACCACCGGCGACTCGCCTTTCTTCGCCCTGCCGCTAGACATCAGAGATCGAATTCTTCATCACACTCTTGCGGGGACCATAATCCGCTTTCGCCACTATAACACCTCTGTCATGGCTCAGTATACCCAAAATGGAGACGAGTCCGTCCGTTGGACGACTTTCGATGAATCCTTCCATGCGGACGGTCTTCCCTCGGACTGGGCACAATTCAAAGACGCCAAATGGCACAGCGGCAAGGGTCTTCCGGGGTGGATGATGCTCAACAAACAAATGCTCCAAGAGTGTGTCCACCAATTCCACAGAGAAGCCATCTTTTGGCAAAACAACTTTTTCTTTACGCCGATCTATCCCTCTGCAATGCCCCTAGGCTTGTTTCGTCTCGACAAAGCGAGAATCGTACGGATCAATACTGGAATCAATTGCCATCCGGAAGGGGTGGGAAAACCTCTGGAGGAGGATAAGTACACTGTCATCTGCCTACACCCACAGCAAGAAGTATGTACCAAGCAATTTACATATCACCTGACGACCTTCCCGCCAGTACTGCAGATACTCAGTCTGAGCGTGTACGATTTCCATGGATGGCAACAATGCGACTCCTCTAAGTACGCATTTCGCTCGAAACTCACGGGATTAAGTGAGAAAGTAGACCAATCTGCCTGGAAATTTCGCTCGGATCTCACTTTCCTCGAACGACTACCCAAGAACTTGCAGAAAATCACTTTTGAAGTGGTTACGCGGTACATCAAACCTTCAGTCTATCCCGAGAGCACGTATGATATCAACTTTCAGAGATGTTTGCGGCTTCTCAAAGATGAGCTGAGACGGATTGGAGAGATTCTTGTGGGTGGCGATGGGGCATTGGCTACGGAAGAGGTGGTAGACTTGGTACCCGCAACAGGTTCATTGGCAGACAGTCATCGGAAACTTGACACTATTTGGGGTTTGACAATAACGTCGCCTATGTACAGACGGGCGCAGCTGATGACATGATCAGTTGGTGTCGTGCGAAAGAGGAAGGAACGCAGATGCCTCGTACAGCAGCTCTGGGTGTACAGTCGACGGAAGAGCGGTGCTTTCCTGCAGGAGAGACTTCGGGAACTTTGGGCATGTAGAGATGAAGATCTGGCCGGTACGATTGCTATCCATATCCTTTCAGGGTCGTCGTCTCAATCTCGGTTGTCAAACTCCTCGGATTGTCTAAACCATTATCGTTGTCAGACTGGACATCTTTCCAGCATGTAGTCGTTTGGAAGACATCTATTAGCACGAGAGACACGACGAACTCTTGTGTAGCCCTCTGATCTGCAGTTGAAATCATTTATAAAAACACACCTCCTAAAAGCTGTTAGAAAGTGTATGGTTTGTGTATATCTAACGGTGTGTCTTCTATGGTTAGAAGGTGTCGAGCTGCTGTAGTAGATGCTACAAGCTCTACGCAAGAGACCTGGACACCGACATGGTGCTATCAGATATGACTTTTGAAAGGAAATGTTGCCTGAAAGCATTTGGCAGGCATCTCCATGAGGCAGTCGCGTTCTTTTTATTGAACGTGTAGCGCATCCAATCATTGCGGGGTCGCCACACAAAAGTCGACCCGCACTAACCTTTTGCGCCTGCCTGGCCCTACCAACTCCATCATTCCCCAAGGCCATCAATCTGACTCATTACGCATCATCCCTCTCGACTAGGAAAGAACTGGAGTTCTGCTATTTTATGATAGTACTCTGATCGAAACCCTCCGCAAACATTTCGCGACTTATCACAAGATCTTTCAAAGCGATGGCAAGAGGTGGTCGAGGCGGCGGTAATCGCAACCCAGCGAACCAATCGAGAGATGTGCAGGTGTCAAGAAAAGTCAGTTGGTTACTGCGACATGGTGCTGGTCAAGAGGGCTTGAAGTTGGGAAAGGGTGGGTATGTCAATGTGCAGGAGACGGTAGGTTTGTTCATCACTTTATGTTCTGGGAAGTCAGATATACGTTCAACCAGAAGACGTGGGTATCTGAAGACTTTCATGTTTGCTTTTATAGAAACAAAGTAAGCAGTAGCATCATACGGGAGACTGACACTCCCCAGCTCAACACCAAAACCCTCAAGGGCTTAAAAGTCACATTCCCTGAACTCCGCGACATAGTCGCCAACAACGACAAACAGCGCTATTCCATGATCCTAGCATCCTCACTCGACCAGGACTCATCCGACAGCGCAGCACCACCACAAGAGCAACCCACACCAGATGCACTTGAAAGTATACCAGAATCCGATAACCCAGCCGACTACCTCATCCGCGCCAACCAAGGCCACTCCATCAAAGTCGACTCCGAAGGCCTCCTCACACCCATCACCCAGGAAGCTGGAAATGTCCCCGAAACGGTCGTCCACGGCACGAACGAGAAGGCCTGGAACCTCATCCTCAAAGGCAGCGGTATGCGACGCATGGGACGCAACCACATGCACTTTGCATCCGGCCTCCCCGCTGGCTTCAAAGCGCTCGACGACTCCACCACTGAGGAAAAAGAAGCCGCACCCGTCATCTCAGGCATGCGCACGAACTCTACGATCCTCATTTACATCGACATCAATGCTGCGCTTGCTGCTGGTATCAAGTTCTTCATTTCAGAAAACGGGGTAATACTTACGGAGGGTAATGAGCAAGGCTTGCTTTCGTATGAGTTCTTCAAGAGGGTTGAGAGTAGGAAGAAGGATGGTGGGGTGTTGATGAGTGGGGGAAAGTTGCCTGAGGGTGTGGTTGTGGATGTTGAGGCGTGGGAGAAGGAGGTTGGGGATGGACAGAGGGGGAAGAAGGGTGGACGGGGAGGTGGGAGAGGGGGAAGAGGAGGTAGAGGTGGTGGACGAGGTGGCAGTGGTGATGGGAAGGAAAGGGCGGTAGATGACGCGGGTGATGCGAATGCTGGTGCTTGAGTGTGATCAAAATTGCGGAGAAGTCAAAGAGACGTACATGTGGTAAAGGCGATGAATGACCAAACGACAGATTAGAGACTGGTTGTCGTATGTGCTGGGTTTGAGAAGCCACATATTGCTTACCCACTCCAATTTGGTTGCAGAGTCACTATCGGCAACATATCTTTGTAGCAGCCAGGCAGACATTTCACTCAAAAAGCAGTATCACAAAGTTGAATATTGAATCGTGATGTATTGAATCGGGATGTAATCATCGACCGTAGACGAAGTTATGAAAAGTGTGCAAAGGTATATAACAGAATGCCGCCCATGTACTCATGATTGAACGCCGACCGACCCATGACAAAGGAAAAAAGTATAAACACTAGAAGGGTAAAAACATTAGAACTTAAAAAGCGTCTTTGCGCTGTAAACTTTTTGGACTCGTACTCAGATCCACTGATGGTTTTGCTTCTCCACGTCGACATTTGTATCTGCGGGAGGCGTTGTTTGTTGCATGGCGAAGTAGTCACGAGCGACAACACCCTCACTTCGTAGCAGAGGGCTGCTGGGGCGCGTTGTGCTGACGTGGTGAGGTGGTTGCAGGCCAGGGGAGTGGGCGTGCTCGGGCTCTGTGACGATGGCGTAAGCACCACCACCCGTCTCGACGCGATCCATTGGTGAAACACCGTCGTCGTGGTCGTCGCCTTCGTCTATGCTGCCACGTGTACCGATGGTGCGCACCGTCATGCGTCGACCGAGACCACATTCTGGGCTGGCTTGTTCTTCCTCAAGGCGGATGACGACCTCGACAGCCTTTTCGTCTTCGATGACCTTGGGATGACGCTTGGCGAAGTAGCGGGCGTACTTGTAGAGTGACCAGTAGCAGCTGGCGACGTTGATGACAGTCAAGACCATCTTGTACGGTAGGTAGTACACGTACATGAGCACCCAGCCAACGCGCTCGCCCTTGCGGCGGAGATGGACTTCGTTGAAGAGGACGCTGTTGATGAGGTACATGACGACGGTGGCGGCGAGGAGATAACCGCAGAACGAGGGGCGGACGTAGAACGAGATTGGTAGGATGAAGGGTGTGAGGAGGTAGAGCAGAGTTTCGTAGACCTGGTGAGACTGTTAGAATTTGATGAGTGAGAAATGAATTGTGAGTGACTAACCTCTTGGAAGACGAAGATCTTTGCGCCAATCTCCCACCAGCCGAGCTTCCAGCTACCAAAGATATAGGCCATGTTGTAGTACATTCCGTTGACGAAGAAGAAGTTCCATCGCTTGAAGCGTTGCGAGAAGATGGTCATCTCGCCGAAACCACCACGAGAGCCACCGCCAGAGATGAAGACAGCGGTAGGTGTTTCGGTTTCGACAAATACCTGCGAGCACATCTTGATGCGACATCCGAGTTTGCGGGCAACGTGACCGAAGAACCAATCTTCAGAGACACTGAAACCGGGGTGTTCGTGGAAAGTCTTGACGAGGAGTTCGCGGTCCCAAAGGGAGATGGCACCGTGGGGGAAGGTGGCAGAACCAATCTTACCAGCAAACTCGCGCTGGATACCACTGAGCTTGTATTCGAGATCCTGGGCTTGTTGGCAAAGGTTGCCCTTTGACCCATTTGGTCCGACGGATTTGATGGTGTAGCCAATGCACTGGACCTTGCCAACTAGACGTTCAGTAACAACCGGGAAGTTATCGGGCAGTGCGCAGTCGTCGTCGATGAGCAATACGTTCTTGAAAGCCTTCGCAGCGTAGCAACCGACGAACTGAGCGACAATCTTTGATCCGATGGGCGACCAGATGTGGTTCACGCCGTATGGGCGGCACACTTCTTCCGTGTTGTCGAGAGGTGTAGGGCTGTTACCGTTGGCGATGACAAAGATATGCGATGGAGGGAAGATCTTCAAAGCGGCCTCGAGTGTGTTGGCAATGAGTCCAGCAGACTTGTAGCAAGGGATCATAAGGCAGGTGTCGGAAACATTGGACTGGATCTTGGTCTCTGTGGTGTAGTCGGCAGGGGGCGGGTCCTTCTCGAAGAGGATGAGCAGAGGAGCGAATGCGTAGCTAGGGTATATTAGTCAAAGAAGAGGTAGCGATGCAACTGTGTCAACTCACAATAGCGCTATTCCAAGCACGATACCGAAACCACCAGCGATGACAAACTTTGTGGCCACGACCCAGTAGAGCCACCACACAGCACCCTTCCAGAGCGGAATTCCGATAAGAACAAAGTAGACGAAGAGTATCAGGAAGAGGTAGATGGCGTACTCGAAGGTGTACTGCACCCACTTCTTTCGCTGAATCTCTTGTCCTTTTTGCTTCGCCTTTTCGTAAGTACCAAACATCTCACTCCTCTTGAAGTAAGAGGCATTGGTCATCTTCCGCTGGAGAGCGTTGGGGACCATGGCATCAACAACGGACTCTAGAGTCCCTTTCCGGGGCCGACCACCCTGGTGTGCAGCTTCAGGTTCCTGAGGCAAGGAGGCTGTTGAATTCCGGTAAGAGTTGTTCTGTGTTGCGAAAGGATTGTCTTTGATCGAGTTGGGCCTGGTCGCGAAAGGGTCCTCATTCGACCACTTTGACGACGCAGTCGTAGTCCTGTTGAGAGAGTTGGGCGATGGTGCACGACTGCCTCGAGGACTGAGAGCTAGAACGTCCGTTGACCCGGGGATGTAAGAAAGGGTCCTGAAGGGTCTGATGTTTTCCTCTGTTGGTGATGGTAGTACCCCGCTTTGCTGCGACATTCTTTTGGGACCAGTGTTACTGAACCAAGAGAATCGATTACTCCTCCTGCGTTCGCCCTGCGTCTCTGTGCGTTCGAGATTGGTAGAGCGTTGGGTGCCATTTCGGTGTAAGCCTGAGTCCTGAGTTGGTCGACGACGTATGCTTCCTATGCCGTTGGGATCGAGGAAAGGGTTCTCTGCTTGAGGCTCCCATGTTCCATGTGAGGTATACGTCTTGTCGCGTTTGGATCCAAGGTTGCCAGTGGCCCGAAGTAGATGCGCAGGGACAGTGACATCCTGTACGATCTCACTGGACTTTCGTCCGTGTGCGTAAGTCATGTCTGCCAATTGATGTTCTGCAGGAGTATCGGAAGGAAGGCCGGAAGGAAGACCGGATGGAGAGGTCATGTTGTATTAATGATGACCAAGATGAAGGTCCCGGGGTAGTTGTGTCTGTGAAATAACGGACGGGGGTACCCCATTAATACTCGGGAGCCATCTCCAGACCTTGTACGATGTCGAACCTCTAGTCGGGTAGTCGGACAGCCACATCGGGCGATCCGACTATGAAATCTCCTCCTATGTGCTATTACCGATCCACATGGTAGGTGTGGGTACAACCCGGCGTCGATCATCATGGAGGGCGGCATGCACGTGTTGGAGGCATGTTGAATGATGCGCCACAAATGCGGTTGACAGTGACGTTTAGAGCGAGGGCTAGATCTGGAAAGTTTCCACGCCACTGAATCGCAACGGAGCCTTACTAGTTCCCGTCTACTTCTACTCCAAGTAGCTCCAGATGGATTTGCGTTTCTGATGACCCTGTCCCGAGCACGGGGTTTGACGCCTCAGGCCGTGGATCTGTGGTTGTATTGCATCACTATATCGTTGGGCCATGTGAGTTTGACGTGTCTTCGAAGGCCATTTTCCGATGTATGATGGAAGGCAAGGAACCCACATTCGTATAAGCGTGGCCAAAGAAATGACCTTCCAGTACCTTTAGGTGGGTTGTAGCATAACCCCTGCAAGTCTCGCCCACGTACCTGTCCATGGACAGAGCAGCTGAAAAGATGGATTCTGACAGCATCGCCGACATGGATAGGGCCCGTGCACTGCCACTGTCTGAGCTAAAACAGTGGGCGCCGTGAATTGGAACGGGTACTAAACGACCTCTTCGGGGTTGACAAGTAGTTCGAGGCGTAGACTGAGGCTGTGGCCAAGAAGTGCCGTCTGGACATGACTCCGAATCTTACTGTGCAGTAGGTCATCTTAGATCGATGGAAGAAAGAGTTTGCATCTCGATACCGGTGCTGCGCGCAATGATATCATAGTCGTTGCGCTGTGGAAGTCGTGTTCGACTTCTACGCCTCGGTCCTTGGCCGTACACATGCATCCTGAACCCGTCCGGAAGCAGCGCCCGAGAAGATTTTCATCTCGCACTCGTAAACACGGTGGACTGGGCCTTCTACTTCCACGGCATCATCCGTGCTGCTGACAACGCAGGCCCCTGCGTTGCAGCCTCGGAGAAAGCTTCACCGCGCTTGCGCAGGTACTCAGGGTAATTGTCGTGTTGTTGAGGCCGAGGACGAAGTAGGCAAGGTGACATGGGAGCCTTGCAGAGAGAGTTCAAGGGTGCTTTGCTATTACGCAACTTTGCAGGGCATCCCGCTGGAAGTCGGCGTTTCTTTTGAACGGTTGGCGCTACTATAGTCTAACATGTCAGTGCCGTTCGGGTACCACAACCTGGGAGGCTTCGAGGCTCACGTTGTGGCGATGCCAAATCATTGTCGCGGGGTCGCAATTTACCCAACTGTTCAGTTGCCAGGAGTTCGTGATCGGGAATCACCAAGAGATGTACGAGTGAGTGTTGCTGACAACTCGACGATGAGGTCCAAATTGCAGAACGCCGTTCCCGCCCGGGCCGCTGCCAAGGCCGGATGTCATTCGTTACGTCAGGCCCGCAACACGAGAGAAGCCTTTGCTGGACGTTTGACCATCCGTTAAGAATAGCCAACTTCAACCCTTGATCCCACCCCACCAATACAACACGAGATGAGTTCCTACGTGTCCCAATACCCGCCGGCTGTTGAGTTCGACCCTGCATACAAGAAATTCTTCGAGGACTTCTACGCTACGTCCGATGCAGCAGAAGCGCATGAGGAATACGTCCAGTACTTCACTAAGGATGCAACCCTCGTCATGGCCTCCAAGAGGGTAGTAGGCCGGGAAGGTTTGTCGCATTGCTTTTTGTTTCCAGCCTTGCGAACGGCTCCCTGGAATTCCATCGCCCTTCCATAATCTACCGGGCTAATTCATGGGCGTAGAGATCTTAGCCCTGCGCAAAAGTATGTGGGAGAAAGTTTCAACGAGAACGCACAAGCCACTCCAAGTGTTTCCGTTCGGTCCGAAGTCAGACGAGGTCATGTTGTACGGGACGGTCAAGTACGGCTTCAAGGCAGGCGGAGAAGCCAGCAAAGATTGGGCTGCAAGGGCGCACCTAGTCAAGGAGGACGGTGGCAAGGTGAAGATGAACTTCTATCAAGTCTACCTGGTGCGACACTCACCTCCTGTTCGCGTTCGTATATGTGGACTTGAAGCTAACCACGATGCTCAGGATACCGGAGCTTAGGATACCGGAGCTTAGACCATGCAGGTAGATCTTATGTAGATCTATGATCGATTATAGGGGCTTTCCGGCGCATGCAGTGTTTAAAACAACCGGCATACCGAGGTGACATTCACCGGTGTACTGTGAGCACTACTCCAGTGCTTACTTTGGTACGCTTTCAAACGAAGCGGTCTTCAGGAGAGGCCTCATATTCGGATCGGGCGGCGCAAGTACCGGGTCCACTTCACTCTGAAACACGCGCTGCGGAACCCCTCCGAACTATACAAAATTGTAAAGTGAACTGGAGATTAACGCATGGGGCTCTTCTCTACTATGCGGATGTGAGGGCCGCCATCAAGTAAACCATTGATCCCGGCCAGTCACTTGGTTGTCATAAAACCTTACGATTCACGTTGTCGTACAACCCAACAGTCCAGATGCGAAAGTTCTAGATGACCTAGGTATCCCAGCACCGCCTCATCTCAAAAACATCATGCAAATTATTTCGAGCGCTGCGATGAATCAGGGTCCTGCAGGGCCAAGTGTTGCTTTTTCCAACGTGGTGTTGCCCTGAACGTATTTCAGTTACACGTACATTGGTTCTGCCCCTGGAACTACTGTTACGGAACATAAGAATTGCTTTTTCGTGTTCTTGTCCGTTTCCAAGGCCCTGGATTTTCTTTACGACCTAAGGACCGACCTCAGCCACAAGTACGTCAGCATGGGTGGGAATAGTTTGGTACTGCCGCAGTCTCGGCATGGCAACGCCACTCTGGGCGCAATGCTACGAACGTGGCCCAGATGCATCTAATGGATGGAGTCTCATGTACGAGTGCCGCGTAACGGTCTTCCAGAAGCCAGTCGGAGGCATAAGCAAAGCAGATGGGGCACCTCGTGTGGTGCACCGACGCTTCGTATCATCTGCAGCCGGCATACATGCTGGACCTAGACGTGTCTGCAACGACAGGTTTTGCGACCTCCGCAGCGTCGCCGAAGTGAGAATACCCCTCAATCGTAGCATACTCAAATACAACTCTCGTCCGGTGATGCGACCAGGCCAGACTCCTTAGCTTTGCTGCTGGATGATGGATGTGGCATTGTGAAATTGCTTGGTATCGTTCAGTCTCGACTTACGCCGCGGGCAAGCAGATAAATCGCAGATGTTCGCGTCACTTTCGCCATATGATACCCCTGCTCGTAATCGTATTTGCATTCGTGTTGTGTCTTTGCTGACGGGTCGGCCGAAGACGACATCATTGATCTTGTTCTGTGGCTCCGAGGATGTCGCTAAGAATTTCGGGCTTCTCGGGCCATAGTTCACCCACCAGCAAGTTCGTTGTCACCATGTAACAGAACATGATGTAATGGATGACCAGAAGGCTTAAGCTAATAAAGGGATGAAAGAGAAGAAGCGCATTCATTTACAATCGTCTTTGTCATAATCTGACCATGGAGTGCGGAGTTGCAGGAATGTAAAGTTCGTGGGGTGGGGAAATTGAAAAGTCAAAATTCGCGGACGCAGGCGGCTCCCAGCACAACGCCCCGCATTTGCAGATATACGGTCAGCATAAGATTTGCAACAGCGTGACTTATGTGTGCCCACGGACTTTTATCATCAAATTTGATACCTCTCCATCAACAGGCTACAAACCAGCCCGGCTAGCTCAATCGGTAGAGCGTGAGACTCTTAGTCTTTCACGGTCTAACAGACACGATTACTCAGTACATCTCAAGGTTGTGGGTTCGACCCCCACGTCGGGCTTGAGAAGCTTTGTTTTTGCTCCTGGCGTCGTAGGTGGCAGAATGGTGGTCGTGGTGTTGATGGAGTGCACAGGACCATTTTTTTGGCCAGTGCCCCACCGTCTCGCAAACCACCACTCAAAATCATCACCAGGCATACAATGTCTCTGCTATTAGCCCGTTCACCCTTTGTTTGTGGTCTGGAATGTTCTACACCATTATTGTTTACATGCACCCTGAGTCGTTGGCCTAAATCCTTTCTCCTTACAAGTTGCACACACTATAGCTACCTAGGCGAAGTCCGCCATACAGAGCTTTGTATGTAAGAGCAACCTGAAACAAATATGTCCTAGAAGACTACATTAACATGAAATTTTACAAACGATGGCTTTGACATCTATGTAGATGGCAGCGTACCTATTAAGTCTTTTCTACGATGTGAGAGCAAGCTACGTCGTACTCAAGTCCCCTGGAAACACCCGCAGCAAAGAACAACAGCTTCAAGTTCACGATCAGCATTTTGATGATACAATGGATTTGGATTCAAAGATTCGTCCGTCAAACAAAAGATTACGACCATGATAAAAGATAAATCCCCGTAGCATCCAACATCACACACTGCCCAGAATCGGTATCCGAGCCTAACCCACCACATCCGTCACCAACGCAATCACATCTTAAACATATCCTCCAAGCATACAAACTACCCAATACTCTTACCACCCTCCCCGCCACCGTCTCCCCCCTCTTGACTCATACAACTACTATCGTCCTTCTCCCCCGCCAACACCGGAATCGTCAACATCTCGCCTGCAAGAATCAAATTCGGGTCCTGAATGTTATTCGCCTTGACGATGTCGCATATGCCGACTGCGTTCTCGGCTGCAATCTTCTCTAGTGTGTCGCCGGCGGCTATGGTGATTTGTTTGCCGCTGCCGGAGTTGTGGTCTGGAGACGTGGAGGGTGAGGGGGTGGGTGGTGTGGAGGCTGTTGCTGAGGCCGAGGTTGGGGCGGGTGGTGGTGATGCGGAGGCGGCGGGTGGTGGTGATGCTGCCGGTGG